TACCACAACAGTACCTTCTAAACCAGGTAACCAACGCGGGAATTCTCCATGGAACCAGAATAATGCTGCCACCGCTGGAATCACAGAAAAATGGCCGGATCAACCGGAGCTAAACCACACGCTACCTTCCCTGGGGCTGGCTTCACAAAACTGATGAAGTATGAGGGGTTGGTCACATGGCCTGACATCTCGCTCAACAAGAGTCTCGCGAGATGTCAGTCCATTGTGACGTAAGTGGGAATACATAAATTCCGCAAAAATCAGTATGTGCCTGCGTGTCGTATACGTCGCTATGTACTGTCGCAAATTCACAATACCAGCTTTGTATTCCTGTGGTTCTAAGTAGCATTTTTATTTTTGGCCGGAATTTTATTTTATTCGCCCGCGCGCACTAGTTTTGGGGTCTTCAGAGGATGGCATCCATAGAATTAAGACGGCGTGGCCTTATTGTACAATTAAGTTCTCTCTCTTTCTTCCAAATAATCAATACATGGGCGACATATTCCTAATTTTAACAACTTTTTTCCAGACTGTGCATATCCTCGCTTTGATCATGGCGCATGCGTCATCTAGCATCAACTGCGTCATCTACGGTTTCACCAATGACAAGTTCCGCCGCGGACTGTTCCATTTGGTGCGGAAGGTGAGGGTCCAGGCCGACTCGGAAAACGCCCAAGCTGCCAACCAACCTTCTCACCCCCCAACTGCTATTGAAATGTTCAACATAAACAAGCCTATTGCACCAGACATGATTGTGGTGTCCTAAAGTCCTCACACTATGTTATACATTTATGGTGGTGTTTTTACTAAATGTATAACTTTTTGGAGAAAATTTGTACAACGCATTTTACAGATGAGGTCAAGAATCAGTTCTTGCATTCCGATGCATTATTGAGAATTAAACAAAAAGAATCAAAGATATATATTTTTCTCTAAATGTTGTGAATGTAGTTTCAAATACGGCTCAGTCACTGACAAAAGGTAATGTATGCTACCTGCAACGCCTGAACATTTTAAAAATCTCATGAAAGTTCATCTGTGTTGGTAGTAATCATAGTAAAACATTGAACTTTATTCCAACACAAGGGTTACAGAGCGATCAAATTTTCGACGACCACTGTCGCCTTCATCAGGATAATCAATGACCAATCACTTCACAACGTGATCTCGCGAGAGTTACGGTTTACAAACACGTGACCTTATTCACACGAGACATTACTGATACATGACGTAAGCAATTTGATCGCTCTGTAACCCTTGTGTTGGAATAAAGTTCAATGTTTTACTATTTTAAAAATCTGTCAAGTTCTTTGGGTGTTATCTTGGTAAAACGATTTGTTATGAGTAATATTGTTCTGGTAGTCCGGACATCGTTGAACCGCCGATAAGGTATTTCTGTACTCCTTACCTTTACGTCACACACAGTGCTTCAAGTTCAGTCTGTATGAATCATAATGCGTTTGAATGGATATTACTGTAAGTATTGTTCATGTCTGGGTCAATTATATTTTGTGGACTTCGTGGTGTCCTGATAACAAGTATTTAACTCTACAGTAAAATCTTAAGTATAAATAATTTGTCAAAACTATCAAAATCACCTCCCACCCACCATGGAACCAAATGGATTACTAGTAAAACATACAACAAGTTCCAGGGAAGTTAGCTTTGGGTTTGGTTTATTACTTGGAGTGTGTTTATTGACGCAGACCGCCAGAAAAATTTCCTGAGCCGTGGAAAACTGGCGAAGCTCAAGCTAAACAGACTGGATAACCAGTAGGATATGAGGCAGGCAGTAAGCCTCAATCACAATTGAGGGAGAAATGTGTTCGTGCCCAAGTTCAATTACTACATACACCACAATGACTGTATTTTCAAGTTAAAAGACGAAATGTGAGCTGTGATCTGAGTAATTATGAGCCTTTGTATAAAAACGTAAAACTATCTATTTTCTGTATTGTGCAATGTATTTGTAAGGATTGTGTAATAAAAGCTAAAGAAAACTCAATCTGTGCATCCTTTCAAAATCCGCCGAATAGATAAACCAAGCGTTTATCTATTATGTACTAATGATAGTTATACCTCCAGCACATGTATGTGAAAGTACTAGAATGTGAAACAACTATAAAGCACTACATGGGGGTTTCAAGACTATGTTACCGAAAAGCACTGTGTTTGGATTTCGAGAACACTTTTGCTGAAAAGGACTGTATGAGGTTTTGAGAATATTTGTTAGTTACAACAAATGGGGGTTTCAGAACACTGAAAAGCACTCTGTGGGTCAGGGAGGTTTGGAGAACAATTGTTACTAACAGGTGTGCCCAATGCACTATATTAAGTAGATTCGAAGAACGTATACGTATATACATGTTTTTGGAACAGAAGCTATTGTGTTGCTCTATTGTCTTAAATATTAAGCAGGGAAACATTGATGTTATCATTCTTTAAATTCAGGCCCTCTCATTGTTGTGCAAACGGCTTTCTACTACAAAATTATTTCCATGTTCTAGTCTATCTATTAGTGAGTCATATCGGGGGACATGGAGAATAAGCTAAACGCGTTCGCCACATCATGCTATAGGGTCCTGCTTAACATCAAGCGCCTAGACCATGTGAGCATCGCCTGGATCTACAAGTTGACCAACACTCGACCCCTTATCATCATGGTAAGGCAGCGTCAACTTCGTTTCCTGGGGCATGTACTTAGAATGCCTGTGGGGGAATGGATGGATGGATGGATAGGTAAAATTTAAAAAAAAGCACAGTCCATTTCGTCGTAAAGGCCGGGTACGAGGTTTGATTTACTCCATCGCATGTAAAGTCAATTGAAATACATCCGGCATGAACGAATGGAAATTTATCAAAACATTCCTCCTCCCCGGTAGGAGCTTTACCGAATAATCCCATTCCATCGTAACCACAGTACCCTGTTCAGAAAGATAAAAAAAGGGAAATCAAAATAAATCCAGAGCATGTCGGTTTTACCATATTTCAAAATATAAACAAGAGTTCTGAGATCTCATACCTCCATGAAATATGGGCTTTCTTTGTCAGACTTCATTTCAACATGTCCTCATTAATTATGCAAATTCCTCTACATTAACATAATATATGCATAGTGGTGTAAACCTTTAAGTAACTTATACATGTCACGAGGTATAAAATTCCCATCAATCAACAATAAGGAGTCACAGAATTTTCACATTTATTATGCGAATTAGGTCATCATTTGCATAATTGGTATCTGTTGATGTTCCGCCTACCACAGATTAAATAGATTACATGTATAAAAGAACTATTATATAAAACACTATAATTACAGAATTTCCTCCTTAATTATGCAAATAAAGTCCTCATTTGCATAATTTGGAGGTAAATATTATCTTATAGCCGGGCGACGTCGACCAATAACAAGCCTCCGTTTCCTATTGGATATCAGTTATTAAGATAAGCGACCACTTTGTGCACTTACGATAACGATATTGAGAGAGAATGGTTTACTCAAAAAATAAAAACCTTCGCAGCACCAGTGCTGAATTGCGGTTTTTGTACACAAAGTCACAAACACGTCCTTCAAATATCGTTAGAACTTAGACATTGTACATTACACATTAAAAATATGAGTCTAAAACTAGTATCTCGACTTGTAGTCTTTAGACTTTTATTTTTTTTTCTATTAGAGATTCTAACATTAAAGTATTGTAGTTTATTTTGAAACCTTTATTTGAAAATAGAACACAATTAGAATGATATGAATGAAATTTAAACAGAAAAAGACTAAACATAATCTTAACACCACGTTTACGTGTTATAAAAGTTTGTGTCAAATAGACTGTGTCAGTTGAATAGGCTATATGATAATAACGTTAATGCCCCGCCTTATCCTCGGTGTGTATGGTGAGATTATCTGTGTCTGTATAGCCGGTATAACCGCCCTTCGGCGTAACATACGAGCTTCGCAGGCACGCGGCGCAGCTATATATATCACATCGAACGACTTGTTACACTCAATCTTTGCACATTTTATTGCAGGAGTTGTTTAAAGCTTTCTAATGATGATGCACCAACTATGCTTGGTGGCAACGAGTTCCAGTCTACGATAGTTCTGGAGAAATACGAGTTTTTGAACACCTCAATTCTTAGTTGATAACTTTTCTGCGCTGGTATCAGATACTTAGTGGTTGGTACGTCCACCAGTTTATTAGTGGTGTTTATTTTATTTTACAATGAGTGTGGAAGGGAGGACAAAACATTGACACCTTTACAAGTTGTCCTTCCAAACACTACAATATAAATACAGATTGCAATTATCATTATATTGAATACAAAACAGATTACAGTATTGACCATGAAATCGCAACAACATCGCAATCTTACGACTTCTTGAACTTGGAATGCTCCCTTCGGTAACTGCGTGGATTGTTGACTTTCTGTCTAACCGAACCCAATCTGTTCGTTACCACGGAACACTTTCCGACAGCTTGAAGATCACCTGTGGACTGCCCCAAGGGACCCTTCTCGGGCCACTGATTTTCCTGGCGTAGGTCAACAGCGCCGCGCGTTCAGCCGCCTCTAAACACTGGAAATTTGTGGACGATCTCAACCTGTTAGAAACGAGAAACCAGTCCTTCTAACATGCAACAGGACCTAAACGAACTGTCCCTCTGGTCACAAGCTAGTCACATGAAGCTCCATCCGAAGAAATGCAAAGTGCTGCATATCGAGTTCAGAAAGATCCCTGTCACACCGCCTTCACTTACTGTCAACAACATTGAAGTTCAACTAGTGAAAGTGCTGAGAGTTCTGGGTGTGATTCTCCAGGCTGATCTGAAATGGAACTCGCACGTGGACTCAGTATGCACTAAAGCAAACCAGCGCTTGTACTTCCTCAGGAAACTCAAGCACTTTCACCTCACCACTGACGATCTCCTGACGGTGTATACTTCCTACATCCGCCCTATCCTCGAATACGCCGCTCCGGTTTGGCACTCCGGTTTGCCCTACAAGTTGAGTGACGGGATTGAGAAAGTCCAACGCAGAGCTCTACGAGTTATCCTGGGTTCTGAATATACTTCTTACGCCGCTGCCTGCTCACACCTGGGACTACCAACTCTCTCCTCCCGGCGTAGAACACTGACAGAGACCTTTGCCAAGTCTCTTCTCCGTTCCGGACAGCTTCAACATATCCTACGGTACCACCCACCAGAGGAAGCATCAGTGGCCGTCAGACCCATTCATCACAAAAACTGAACCCTTTTGTACGGCCGTACTGGACGGTTTACGAACAGTGCCCTACCTTACATGATTGAACTTTTGAACCGCAGCGACACTTTACACTACCGTTGACCATTTGTACTATCTATTGACAATGCATTTCGATTAGTTGCACTGACATTGGTTTTTAACCTGTCGCAGGATTATCCTCTGCTGTATGGAACTTTTAAAACTCCGTATCTTTGCAAATATGTTCTAATCATGCCTCTACCCGAATTGCAAGTGTACGTTTATGTAAATACGTTTTAAGCATGTATATATTCGAATTGTTATGCCTGTTGATGTAAATATGTTTTTAATCATGACCGTTTTTGAATTGTAAATGTCGTAACGCAATTCAGCCGTTTTGACTGCAAAGTTTGTGGCATGGGTTTTGAACTAAATAAACCATTCATATGCAATACAAATACCTACATTGTACAATATCATTAAACATGAAATGGTGCTATTAAGCTAGGTGTTAGAGGGTGCCATTAAACCTTGGTCGTCATACACTTGCATTTTTTGTTCTACGTTGTGAATGTTTTTACCCCTCAAAGAAGTTATGACCGTTTCAAATGCTGGTTTGTTAAGGCGAAGGACGCTTATACCTGCTTTACACAGATACAGATACAGAAATAGAAACGACGTCCGTTTACCTCTATTTACCTCTAACGTGCATAAGCTTATCTGTGTACGTTATCGGACACATCCGGCATAGAACATGTTGTACCAAAACGAATAGGCCAAACTGTCTTAATTTTATGGATGACATCCTTTGAAGACTCCCAAACTAAAAAAAAAAAAACACTCGCCCCCCCTTCAAATCTACTGCTAAACCATAGGAGTACAAAGCTGGTATTGTGAATTTGTGGTAGTACATGGTGACTTTTATAATTACGACAAGCCGGCACATGCTGGCCTTTTGCAGCATTTATGAGTCTGCACTGTACTGAGTTCTTGAGTTCTGTGGAGCGTCGGTAGCCTGGGTGCCGTCCTCCATAGTTACCGCCGGCTCCCTATTGTCACTCGTTACCATGGACTACAGAGGATGGCACCAAGGCCAGAGCCGGACGTTTTTATGTTTACCGACGTTTTTATGTTTAACTCTTGTGGACAGTTTAGTTGCCCCGACGGCAGGACAGACTGCTATGGGACCGGTGAGGTGAGGTGAGGTGAGGTGAGAGAAGGAAAACGTTTTGTTTTTACTCAGTTTCTTCCAGCTCTTCTGTTCCAAACACTAACCTCTGACCTGCCCAATGATATGATTTGTTTACGTCTGTCACCATGGTGACTGGTGTTGGGTTACATAATGTTGCAATTTCATGGTCTGCTCTGCTCCTGTCACCATATGCTTGTAGTACATGTATGTGAAATGAATGTGTTTGAGTAAAAAGTAACAGGGCAGACCATGTCCGAAGGTAAACATTATGCATTTACTTTGCAAATGTTACTTCTCTATTTTTTTTCTTTTTTTTTTTAGAACAGGAAAAATCAATGCGCGCGCTGATGTCATCCATAAAACTACATCAGTTTGGCCAATACACGAATACGAGACATTCGTGCATTATCTGAACTGCAGTACAGAAGTCGGCACCTTTGTACCAAGATAAGCTATTGTTACACTTGCAGACGTTCGAGTCTTGTTTAGTTTATTCACTAATTCTACAAAAAAGGACGATGCCGCTTCTCTCTATGGTGAAATGGCGACCTACTGTGAAATATGTCACTCTGTTGACCATAGCTGCGTGTATTTCTGTTGTGTATTTTAACGTCGGTGATATACATGGAGTACCAGGGAAATCTGCACAAATTTCCACCTTTCCAGTCAACGTCAACAACTCCCAAAATGGAGGGCAACATTTGAACGCAAAAGGTACGTACTGATAGTACTTGAGATTCAAAACATGTTTTATTCCTAAATATGCCGTGCAAATACGCCGTGGAAGATAGGGGTCTCCCAAAAACTCTTAGGGGAGAGGTGCTCCCTAATCGGTTGATGAAAAATCTGTGAATTTTCATGAAAATACTAACAAGAAAACCCTAAATTTGAACATCTTAGGAGATGTGCTAGAATTTTTTGGGAAAGCTCTGGAAGAAAATATAGATTCTTTATTGAGTCAGATTTTGCATGGTCTTCTACTACTAAAGATCTAACAAACATACATGTATGAAAAGTCATTCTTCATATTCTAAGACATGCAGTGAAAAGAAATTAGACGTTGGAATAGGCCGAGATATTTCGAAACGTTTTGTTTATCATGTTTTTAATGGTGTTTTGTGAGGTCGATGTAAACAATTCGTTTAACATGAGCCTATCCTAACATTTCCATCAAATTATGCCGTCTCCTTTTACGTTTAATAACAATCCGATGAAATCATTTTGCCACATCATTATAATCTTTAGTATCATTATATCATTCTGTTACGTGAGCTTTTTGTCGCCCCCTCTTACATTGAAGGTACCCAAGTTTTTACAGCTTGAAAACAAGATGTTTCAAAATCAATATCAAATGATATTCTAGTCACGTACCTACAGTTGAAATAACACTATCACAATGTATATAGTGTGTGGGGTCGTGTGACGTAGCGGTAGCGTGTTCGGCTCAGACCCAAGAGGTCCCGGGTTCGAACCCTGCCCATGTCACCGATCTTGTGCCATTGGGAAAGGCACTTTACACGCCTTTCCTCACCTTACTCAAATGAGTACCTGGCTTCGGTTAGGGACGTCCCTTGGATAGGACGTTAAATAGAGGTCCCGTGTTTGGGGAGAGCCACGCCCCACGCACGATAAAGAACACACCGCACTTATCGAAAAGAGTAGGGGACCTTCCCGGTGTGAATGGTCCAAACCTTACACTCTGGTCATAGGTTTGACATCTTAAAGAGCTGATAGTCACCTGTTATGTCAATCCTTCCACAAATGAGGTAAATTTTAATAAACATATAGACATTCATAGAGCAATAATGCCGAACAATGTGACGGAAAACGGCTATAGCTACTGGTAGGGTCCTGGGCTAATTTTGGGTACCACCCAGAAAATAAAGGACGTACCTTGGGGCTTGTTTCTGCACTGTTTTAAATGCCGAAAGTAAGAAATACTGATGTAAACTTGATAATGTTGGACATACAGACTGCCTTATTGAGAATATTCCAGTTTTGCCGCCTTGTAATTGCATTGAATGTATATGCCTTTAGAGTTGCGACCTACAAGCAAATGGAAATTTTGTTCTTCTTTGGCGGTGAGCTCACTACCCTAATAATGTTTACCGAACATATTGCTTTTGCTCAGTTTCCTCTTCTTCTTCTTCCGTTCCAAACACTGACCTCTGACCTGGTAAACCAGACTCACCATGGTAACTGGTGTTGGGTTATGTCATGTTGCAATTTTGTAGTAGAAGGGATTTAGACTCCTGTCACCATATATGTGAATGTGTTTGAGTAAGAATTAACAGAGCAGACCATATGCGAAGGTAAACATTATGCATTTGCTTTGCAAATATTAATTTCTAGTTGTGTGTATGCTTGTCTGTAAGATAGAGCTGGATTTACTTCACCTTCTACACAGGTACAAGCCGCCCTGCCATTGGTGAACAAGAGAAGAGAATCGCCATTTTGAAGGAGTACTGCAGAAAAAACCCATATCGGGTTAGTTTTCTTGGCTAAGGAAGTTTTGTTGCGTGTGTGTGTGTGTGTGTGTGTGTGTGTGTTTTGTGTGTGTGTGTGTGTTTTGTGTGTGTGTGTGTGTGTGTGTGCGCGCGCGCGCGTGTGTGTGTGTGTGTGTGTGCATGTTTGTGACCCACTTAACTCGAAAAGTCGTGGATGGAGCTTCATGATATTTTGTATATATCCGAGTATTAAAGCAGAAAAAATGGCATACGGGTGGATGCCTGTGACAAAGGAAAGTTCCGTTGTACCGCATGGGATCTTCATAATAATAATCATACATTGTATTTTCTGTTGCTGTCCTTCACCGATCATGTTTTTTTTGTGACAGATTATTTGTGACAATTCAGCAATTTTGGTTGAAAATTAAACATAAAGAATTAAGAAAATGAATAGATTTTTATGACTTAGGGCTTTACTTTGCACCATGTTGAGCTATCTTCTTTTTTGATTGCGATTCAAATTGTTTTTGCAGCGCCACGGCCTTCCTGTTTTACTGATTGTTTCCGTGGCCCTGCTTCAGCCGGCAGATAGAGAAGGAAGTTATAACTCAGACAATATCAGACTGGCCTACCTTGTGGATGCTGTTTTAATCAGTAGGGTTAGTGGTGATACAAACGAAGCCGCCTCATCAAGATTCTGCTACACTGTCCTGTCTAATTGTTCCCTTTGAAAGTCCTGAATGTGCGATGATCTTGAATGTGTCCTTGATTGTATCCCGTGTGCTTTCGTTCCCTAATCCAACTGCTCCCACATATCCACTGGTACCGATGTTGAGGTCCAAGATGTAGGTCAAAGATGTTTTCTTGTCGGAATGTCCGAATGTCCGAAACTGTCAGGTAAAAAACTGGTTTGTCCTCTATCCGCTGACTGCCTTCAGTCCTCTTGAGTGTTCCTTATACACTGCCTCTTCTTGTGCCCTGTGCACTGTGTTTCTGCTTGTGCCTTGTGCACTCACAGCCTCTATCTTTCCTCTCTCTGCTTGTGCCTTGTGCACTCGCAGCCTTTTCCTCTCTGTCTCTCTGTCTCCAGCCAGACGGGGCTCCCCTCCCTGGAGTTCAGGGGGTAGGGATTTTGGCGGGAATCTAATCTATCACATATGTACTAAGCTAGAGGCGGCAAATTCGAAAACAGTACTAGTACACTGGCATCTACACAAATATCTCAAATAATTCATACACTTTTTGACATAATTATACTTTATTTTATTTTCATTTTCAGGGACTTCAAAAGTACCGTCATAATTTAATCGTTATCGACAAGACTAAAACCATTTACTGTTATATCCCTAAAACCGGCTGTACAACAACAAAACTGGTAATGTACAACCTCCAACACGACACAAATTTGACCAGCGCAGATCTTGGCCCTAACAAAAAAGTAGAGATTCACCGGTACCCCTTTAAGTTGCTGAACAAATACAGTATGGAAGATGCACAAATGCGTCTGAAGACCTACAACAAACTCATTGTCGTCCGTGACCCCTTAGAGAGGTATCTCTTCTCTTTTTTGTTATCTTATTTGCATGTACATAATGTATGAGTTGCATGTTTGCATGCGATCTTATTTGCATACTTGGGAACTTCAAAATATCATGCTCCCGCTACCACTACCAAAGATAAAAGGTAGCAGAACACAGTATTAATGGGCGACCCCCGGGACGATGACGCGGGTATAGAAAGTAGTGCAGCGAATATTCTTGAAGGCTGGGTAGAAAGCCTGATAAGAGCGTCAGCCAGATGTAAATTGTGCTGTGTGGTGTAGGAATGTATCGGGTTTGAGACTGTGTGATTTGAATTGTGAAGGTTTTGCAGTTCGTGTATAAATGCGCCGTATTGTGCAACTGGCTTTCCGGGTGAGTCGGCTGCAGTTCAGGTCACGTCCGTAGGGGGTGATTTCAAAGTGTACGTTACGAGCAGATACGCCGACAGGATTTTTTGGTTTCTAGATATTTTGTAGTTTGTACCTTCTTCCCAAACATATTCGATTTTCGTATTTGTGAAGTGCACCCTGCTATAATTTTTACCGCGTCGAAGTGAGTCATCTTGGGGTCCTTAACTATAGAAATCCCCATAGGGCGAAAACTGTGTTCTGCTACCATAAATATGACAAAAGTCTATCGGCCACTTTAACAGGACATCAGATAGTAGAATTTTTTAGTTTTTTATGTTAACTTACGAATGAGGTTTTTATAGTTGTAGAACTTTTTAGGTTATTATCTTACGAATGATTTTAACATTAATTTTAACATTATCATGTGATTTTTGCAATCTTATCATAAAATATTATAATTTATCTAATTCCATGCCGACATTGTTCAAAGCCAAGATGGTTAACCTTATTATCATGAATTTTATTTGTGACGTTTCAGGCTAGCCTCTGCCTGGCTTGATAAATTTTTCAACAGTCCAGGACGCTTCATATTCAGAAAGAGGTTACGGCAGGCTGTAGGGAATTCAACATTCGGAAAAACAACAACAAAAAGGGTATGGATCTTCATCCTGTAGATTCATGAACAAAAAATAATAATAATAACATTAAAATCAAACAATCAGAATTAATGCTAAAAGAGTATATTAGGTGACACTCTAAGGCGTAAAATATGATATAATATTTCACAATTTAAAAACAAAATCAAATATGTTCAAATCTTGTATGGTATGGTTTAGAAGGGACATATATTCCAAAATTTCGAAAGGGAATTAAAATCACAGTATAGTATTCTAAATGTTATCAATATAATATTTTAACATCAAAAATAATATTATTTCAGATTATATTATAACACAATTTTTCTAGGAGAATAATATTTACATTCTCAAAGAGTGTTTAATATTGTAGACCTAGAATATAGAATATTTTTTTAGATTTAGAAGACAGTATACGTATATTGATATAATATGTGTGTTTTGGTCATTTACACATGTAAACGGCAATTATGTAATTCACCTTCACCTTGTCCCATCCTCGTCTGGAGGGTCGGGGACTGTGGTAGTGTGCAGCACAAGCTTCTTCCATCCATCTCTGTCCTTGGCCATCTGTGTGCAGTCTGCCAATTTCTGATGTCGTCTACCCATCTCCTACGCGGCCTCCCTCTACTCCTACTGCTACAGAACCGTCCTTGTAGTATGGGATGTGGGTTGAGATGTTCTGTGCTCTCGACACATGTCCGAAGTACTGCAGTTTCCTCCTCCTGATCATGTGTACTAGTGATCTTCCAAAACCCAACTCTCCTAGGACTGAGGTGTTTGTACGGAGTTCTGTATGTCCAGCTACCTCTGAGCAGCTTCCTATAGCACTTCATCTCCAACGCCTCGATCTTCTGTCTTTCGCATGAAGTATGTAATAATTTTACGATAATCAACATATTTTCGATATTAAATGTGTGTTTTTTTCAGGCTTTTCCCAGGAATAGATCTAGACAAGGATCCATGGCGGCTAGGAGAGCTCCACCAATTTCAATCAGGGACTTTGTCTGGAGTATTATTAACAATAAATATAGAAATGTACACTGGGAACCGTTCTTCAGTCATTGTGCTCCCTGCCAGGTATCTTCTATTATTATTATTATTACTATTACTATTTATATCCATCAAACTTCCCAACCTATCTTCTTTAATTGTAATTGGAATCGTCAACATACACCACACACACACACACACACACACACACACACACACACACACACACACCACACACACCACACACACGCACACCACACACACCACACAAATAAATGCACAGTCTCTCGCTTTTTGAGTGACACTGGTACATGTATATTATGAAGAGAGTCGGTTCCCAAAACATCATAAAGCACGCATGACCAACGACATGTCTCACTGAGTAGTACAACACGTTCATTGTAAATCTTTACTCTATGTGCAGGTTCAATACGACTTCATCGCTCATACGGACACGCTGGTAGAAGACCTTCGTCTGTTCTTCCACAGGAGCGGTATCGTAGGGAAGGACGGCATCCTCCCGAGACAGCACCCCTCTCGGGCTAAAGCCCGCTTCGGTAGGACCTTTCGAGTGGTCCCGCCGGAGGACATACGTCGCCTCGGGCAAATCTACAAACCGGATTTCGACATGTTCGGATACTCGATTGAGGAGGACCTTGAAATGATTGAAAACGAACAGCGGAACGCACTAAAACAAAATGTCTGAGTCAGCAATAGTAAATTTTTCTTCTTCTTCTTCTTCTTTACCCATCCTCTTCTGAGGTGCAGCGTGTGAAGTTTTGTCGCCAGTTCTTTCTGTCTTTCATAGCAGACAAACGTCCCAATCCTTGTAGACCAGTTTCAGACTGAATGAGACCCTTATGTGTTGTGATTGAACGACCAATCCTCCTTTATGCCTCTGGAGTCCAAAGTAGGAGTCGTCCCGCTGGTTCTCTACCACGAGCCACTAGCCACAATTTTTAGTATGGACCAAAGCTCTGTAAAACTACCCATATATATATATATATATATATATATATGCATGTAGCCGCCAGCCAATGTCTTACCACTACCAAGAAAAGCATCGCGAGTCTGATTCTTCGTCTTGGTTAGGTCAATTCAATTTGTTTTCAATTCCTTATATTTAGTTCCTTGAATAAAGTGTTTTCAAAAATTTAACATTGCGATCCAAGATAGCGGCTAGATTAAATAAGTATGACGTCATTTATGACGTAATTATGACGTCGACGTAGGCAACATAAGTCTTAGCAGCTCTTGATATTCTATCATACACCATTTTTAATTTTTTTTGTATACCTTTGGTATGCCTAGACGTTTTATTCATGAGACCAAAGAAGTTTATCAAAGTGGACATCTTTTTGGTAACACCTTTGGTAGAGCTAGATGCTTGCTTCAATGTTCACAGAAAAATTAAAATGCTGCCACAAATTTACAATACCAGCAATTCCTGTGGTTCAGTAGCATGTTTATTTTTGGTCGGAATTTTTTTTATTCGCCCGCGCGCACTAGTTTGGGGGTCTTCAGTGGATGTCATCCATAAGAATAAGGCGGTGTCGCCTTTCAACGTAAAAAAAGCCACGGGCACTTCTCACAATGAAATACGCGAGCTACTTTTTAAATTTACACACAATGTAGCTTTTAGTTGACAAGGTCACAAAGTGATTCCCAACAACACCACAACAACGAGTTTAAAACTGTATGTCTACACAATCAACCAACCAACCAACCAACCAACTGACTGCTAAAGTAATAAGGTACATATTTCATTTAAATCATTCTGAATTTGGGACCAACTACAAATTGGAGTTTTTTTTCTTTTTCCTTTGGTTCTTTCTATATGGTTTCTACATTTGGTTGCGGAGAAGTTACCTTCAGTATTGGTCTAAGACTGATCCTGCTCAGGCTGATCATGACCGCTGGTCATTACATTAGCTGTTTTGTACAGAATATTTAACTGCGAGGAAGTCGGCCCTGTGCCATAAGATAAATTTCTAGCATCGAGGGATTCAGTGATGGCCTGATACTGACCCTGCCCTGTGTTGGCTTTGATTAGGGGCTGATACTGGCCCTGGTCATTACAGTAGCTCTGGTGTTTGTGTTAGACTCAGTGATAGCCTGAGACTGAACCTGCCCTGTTTTAACATGATTGCTGTCAATATCTTCATACTTGTGATCACCACTGGCCGTTACCGTAGCTGTTGTGTTTGCGGGGGATGCGGCGATAGCCCTAGACTGACCCTGCTTTGTCTTAGCACGTGGGTTGTCAACATTTTTATACTGGTGATCATCACCACTGGCTGTGTTTGTGGTGGATTCAGTGATAGCCCTAGACTGACCCTGCTTTGTCTTAGCACGTGGGTTGTCAACATTTTTATACTGGTGATCATCACCACTGGCTGTGTTTGTGGTGGATTCAGTGATAGCCCTAGACTGACCCTGCTTTGTCTTAGCACGTTGGTTGTCAACATTTTTATACTGGTGATCATCACCACTGGCTGTGTTTGTGTTGGATTCAGTGATAGCCCTAGACTGACCCTGCCCTGTCTTAACACGTGGTTTATCAATATCTTCGCACTGGTGATCATCATCACCACTGGCCATTACAGAAACTGCTGTGCTACCTTCAGCTGCATACATAGGATTTGTCATTTCTTTATGGGATAGATTTCCAACGTTCAGAGATTGAATGTTAGCCTGGCCCTGACCTGTCTTAACACGTGGTTTATCAACATCTTCATAAGGGTGATCATCATCACCACTGGCCATTACAGAAACTGCTGTGTTACCTTCAGCTGCATACATAGGATTTGTCTTTAAGGCAGCTAGCACTTGGTTATGGGATAGAGATTGAATGTTAGCCTGGCCCTGCCCTGTCTTAACACGTGGTCTGTCGATATCTTCATACTGGTCATCATCACCACTGGCCAATACAGTAGCTGTTGTGTTTGTGGTGGATGCAGTGTTAGCCTAAGACTGACCCTGCCCTGTCTGATCAAGACCACCGTTCATTACAGACGCTAATTCGTTTGTGTTGCTCCCTACAACACTGGGATTCGGCCCTAATGGAGGATTCCTGGTCCTCCTTTTGTTCCAAATTACAGCCAAGAACGTCCCAAGTAGGACAATACCGGCAACTGAACCACAGACTGAGCCAATGAGAACAGATAGCTTGAAACTGGGAGCAGATTCTGCCTTATTTGAAGTGATTGCAAGGGGCGAAGCTAGTGTTGCTCTTGTTTTGCCGGCAGGATCTGACATTGGGACAGCATTGAACTTGAAGTACCAGTGATAGTGAGAGTTGTGTGATATTAAATGGATATCAGCTATTCGTTTTGATGTGGTTAGCTGAGGGGAACTGGGAGCAGATTTTGGCATCTCTGAAGTGATTGCAAGAGGCAAAGTTAGTGTTGCTCCTGATTTACTTGTGTTTTCTTCAGGATTTGCTGTTGAGTCAGCGGTGGTTTTAAAGACTGATGGGCTAGTATTGCTTTCTGTGTTACCAACTGAAGATGTTGACATTGCAGCTGAACTGCTATGAACGGTGAAAGGTGATGTGCTTGGCTCTTTACATATCAGATCTTTTTCAACATCTGCAAGCTTCCGTCCCTTAACTTTGAGGGGTTGTTCACATGTTATCTGGTCTTTAAAGGAGTACTAACCTCCAGAAGGAGGTGCTATATTTCGACAGGCATTTATTTTTGGAAGTGAAAAATGCATATTATTTTACAGTATACAATTAAATGTCCATTTTGCGCGCAAGTCTTAAAACGCATCGAATCCAGGACAAACTCTCCAAATACCCTCAAAACTATCCCAGAATACACCACGCTACCCCATTGGTGTCTATGTTTTAAACAAAAAGTTACGTTACAGACTTAATTTCGGGGGCGATAAGAAAAATTCGTACCGTTTTGTGTTCTTTGGTATCTTACCAACCATTGTCCTTCTTGGTGTCCTTATCGCCCCTTATTTATGCCGCAAATATTGACGATGAAAAAAACGGCGTAATCTAGTTATCCTTTCCATAAGTGGCGTAATCTAATTATCTGTTCAAGTAATACTTACATGCAAATAAGTTGAGAAAATCAAAACACGCAGGATGAAACTGGCTCCCACTGTATTCGACATCCTGATATTATAATATCCAAGCCACAGGTCAAGCAAAGTAAAGCAAGTAATTTCTCAATAATCAGCTTGTTAGTGTGCTTGTCTCCTATCATTTTCGCCGAAAAATGTGTATGTTGACCTGAAGTGTATGAGTATTGCGTAAGCCAGAGTTCCCGGATGTATCAATTGTGGTTCAGCATGGGGAAAAATGATATTAATATCACTTTACAAACATGCGCCGCGCAAGTCGTACAAGCAAAATTATGTAAAAAGTCGGCTAGTTATGTATTCATTGTAGCATGATGTATCGGAAAATAGCACTTCCTTCTGGAGGTTAGTACTCCTTTAAATGCAGGAATACGCTTGACAGCAACCATCCTACAGTCACACTGCCAGGGGTTCCCCTCAAGCTCTATTCTGATATTAGATGGGGACAAACAGAGGATTGACAAGGGAATGGCCGACATGTTGTTGAACTTAAGTTTCAGACGTTTCAATAGAAGCCGATTTCCAAATGCACCAGAATGGATGGTGGTTATTTGGTTGCTGTTTAGAGACAAGCATTGTAGCTGGGGCAAATGTACCAGAATGGATGGTAGTTATCTGGTTGTTGTGCAGGTACAAGTTTTGTAGCTGGAACAGATTTGCAAATATACCAGAAGGGATGGAAGTTATCTGGTTGTTGTTCAGGTTCAACCATTCTAGCCGGGGCAGATTTGCAATTGTACCAGAAGGGATGCTAGTTATCTGGTTGTTGTGCAGGAACAAATATTGTACCTGGGACATATTTGTAAGTGTACCAGAAGGGATGGTAGCTATCTGGTTGTTGTTCAGGTACAACCATTCTAGCTGGGGCAGTTTTGCAAATATTCCAGAATGGATGGTAGTTATCTGGTTGGTGTTCAGGTACAACCATTGTAGCTGGGGCAGATTTGCAAATATACCAGAAGGGATGATAGCAATCTGGTTGTTATTCAGGAACAACTTTTGTAGCCGGGGCAGATTTGCAAAAGGGATGGCAGTTATCTGGTTTTTGTCCAGGCTCAACTGTTGCAGCTGGGGAAGATTTGCAAATGCACCAGTAGGGAAGATAGTTATCTGGTTGCCGCTGAGGAACAACTTTATTAGCTCTGGCAGATTTCCAAATGCATCAGAAGGTATGGTAGTTATCTTGTTGCGGTCAAGGTGCAAGCACTGTAGCTTGGGTAGATTTGCAAATGTACCAGAATGAATAGTAGTTATCTGGTTGCCGTTTAAACAAAACCATTGTAGCTGGGGCACATTTCCAAATGCACCAGAATGGATAGTAGTTATCTTGTTGTTATTCAGATATAAGTACTGTAGCTGGGAAGATTTGAAAATGTACCAGAACGGATGGTAGTTATCTGGTTGTCATTCAGCCACAATCTGCGTAGCTTGGGTAGGTTTTTGAATGTACCAGACTGAATCTCTGCTATCTTGTTATGGCTGAGTGACAAATGCTTTAGTCGTGGTAGATTTGCAAATGCACTAGCTTCAATCTTTGTTATCTGATTGTTGTTCAGGCACAACTCACGCAAACTCTTCTGGTCCTGAGGGATTCTGGTGAGGACCTGATATCTCACCCTCATACCGTCACGGCAGTACTGTGCGTCTGGCATGTCGAGATCCTTCAGGATGATGAGAAGGAAAATCAGCAAGTGTCGAAGCTTTCTTCCCATGGTTTCCTGTCACCTAAACGGAACGAGAAGCTCCTCACTAAAACGTTCCCTTTAACTTATCTTAGACCTCAAATTTACCGAAAATACATCTTAACTTGAATATAAACATAAAGTCTAAGGTTATAATGTAGGTTTATACAGGAGAAAAAAAAATGCTGTTACATTCCAATTGTCCTCCCATGACATTGTTTTTGTTTTTCCCTCTTGCTAAATTCTAAATTAATCTAAAATGTTAAATTTGGTGACTTTTCCTAAAAAAATATCTAGGAACAATTTCATATAAATTAGATGAATTCCTGATTTTTTGCGTTGCCAAGGCAACTGGTTTCTGACAAGCAGTTTTCTTTTAAATCAGTAATTTTGGTTTTCTAGGTTTTCTAGGTTTTATGTTTAATTACACTTCCTTTTTAACATTGATAATATCTTATATAATTATATGTAATTTATATCATTATGATTTATGCTAATTTGATGACATCATCGGTCAAAATCCAAGATGGCGGACCATATAATTTGCTCTTGTGTAACCATGTTTTTTTCACTAATTTTTCGTCTCAACTCCGTGTTTTTTCACATAAAACGTTCACATGAGCATGTTAAGTCCATTTGCGTTGCGTTTGTAGGCATTATCTTAAAATAAAATACGAATTTCAAAAGTCAAGATTTCCGATCCAAGATGGCCGCCAGCTTCATTATGCATGACGTCATTTTGACATCATCGTTGTTGCCAGGGGCAGCAAAAGTCTTAGCAGACATTAATATTCCATTATAGACACATTAATATTCCATTATCATATAAATGACGTCATCATGATGTAATATGACGTCATAATTACACAAAAAATTTTAATATGAATTAATTTAACTACACCATTCTCTGAAAATTTGGTGGCCCTACGATAAGTGGTTGTTAAGTTACAGCCACTCCCGAAAATACAGAAAACAGCGCGTAAACTACCCGGCGGAGCCCCTGTTTCTAGTTGTTATGTTACGTACGTGTTAATTGTCTGAGACTTTCTACTTGAATATTGATATTTTGTTCTCCTGCTTGCGGCCTTTTTGGACCTCCCAAACAACGAAATCAGCAGAAAATTAGAAAAAAAGTACACTTCTATTAAAAAGGTTGGGAATACTATTCCTAAAATTTCAATAAAATAGCCATTACAGGACTGAGTTTCTTAGTTCGTGCACTCTACTGAATAATGCAATTGTAGAAAATATCCTGGCAAGTGTAGACCGATAAGATGTGTTTCCGTGTTGATTTTGGAAAGCCTTGTGTTAGCAAAATGGTCGTAACGTCAAGCCTTAAAAACAGTTTAAACAGACTGTGGCTTAGCAAAGTCATGATGGTTTATCTGTAGATCCTGATTTCAGCGCAAATTTTGGCAATTGTGCCACGTCATCAAAATACAATATGAAAACAAGAGTTCCGAGATCTCATACCTCCATGAAGTATGGGCTTGCTTTGTCATACATTTCAACATGTCCTCATTAATTATGCAAATGACCTCCACATTAACATAATATATGCATAGTGGTGTTAACCTTTAAGTAACTTACACATGTCACAAGGTATAAAAGTCCCATCATTCACCAATAAGGAGTAGCAGAATGTTCACATTAATTATGCAAATAAGGTCATCATTTGCATAATTGGTATCTGTTGATGTTCCACCTGCCACAGATTAAATAGATTTCATGTATAAAAGTACTATTACATAAAACACTGTAATTATAGCATTTTCTCATTAATGATGCAAATAAAGTCCTCATTTGCATGATTTGCATTTAATTTTGTACAACTCTCTCTCAGCTACCTACACACTAAAATTGATGAAAATACGTTGTTCCTATCTTGACTTATTGGCTTTTAAAGATTTCGTCAGAAAGTGCCCTGCAGTTCCAGAACAAGCTGCCAGGGGGACCAAACTCACACCACTTATTTCTGACAAGAAAAGCTATCTGTCACCAAAAAGTCAAGACCATAGCATGTTCAGGACAAAAGATACAAAAACCGGAAGTTCTGCTGCAGTACCAAGGTCATCCACCAGGAGGCCCATATTTGACCTTGACCTTTGTCTTCCCAAGACGTACCAGCATACCAAATATCATCACAATCCATAGAGGCGTTATGAAGTTATGCTGACCACAAAGTTGCGGAAACACAGACAGACAGACAGACAGACATACAGACAGACACGCCAAAAACAATACCTCCATTTTTCATGGAGGTAATAAATATGTATAAAACAATAGAAATAAAACAATCATAGCCCCTGTTACCCCCGTTAGAACTAACATTTTCCCAAGCAGATGTTAAGATGGAAATTATTAAATATTTTCTGACGTCCTGACTTTTCTGACAGCTATCTACCATTGTCTTCAGTAAAAACAGCAAACCTTCCCCCGTCATATCTCCTTAGAGAATCAAAATCTGATTTCCAGCCTAACCTATGGGCGTATAGGCCAGTGGCAAACTGCCTACACGGCATTTTACCTTAATTGTTTATTCACTCACAGACACATACCTTTTAAATAGGTCAGAAACGTTTCAGTTGACACTTTTTTGACAGAGACTCGGGCACAGGTTGTTGTTGTTCTTGCAGGGTGTGCCAGCCACCGTCTGTAGCTGATCCGCAATGCAGTGTGAAAACCAACCCAGAATCGGTCTTACGTAAATTGTAAAGTTGATTGTCTGAAGCTGGCTATTTAAATATTATTAATATCTATGATTACGATGAAAATCTTTAATCATGATGCAGGTGCAGAGATGCATATTTACTTGTTTTTTTGTCACCAGTTTCGTATTTATACCTAGCCGCTACTTTTAAATGTATGGGATTGGTGACTTATACATGGAAAGTTTCTGTATTAAAGCATGGAAATTATATAATGTGCTCTGCTACAACGTTTTCAAACTTGTATTGTCCATACTTCAAACCGGATGGCAAAACATTCACTCCCTATTGCTAGCTTGGTAATGATTGTTAATTGATAGTAATAGCAACACCCCTGAGGGCAATAATGGTACAGACCTGTTGCCAGGCAACACAGCTGATATCGCAGCGAGTAAATGTAATATATCCATTATTCCATGCCAGTATGGATTTTTATATTCATACATGCATCACGAGTGAATGGAAACCATTCTTTTTCATTATTGATTTTATGGTGCCAGGCCAGCTTTTATTTGCCAGAAGCTGGCATAAAGGCTGTTTTATATCCGTTTATACTGATATGTCCATATATACTGAGTTTATATGTTTAAAAATGGCGCATTATTGTGCAGATTTTGGCAACCACAGTGCTCAATCGAAAAGCCACCTAACCTTAGCACGAATGCACATTCACATCTTGAGTTGCTTAAATATGTAACGTAAGACAATGTTCTCAGCGTATTACATAATGATGAAAACATTTATGAATTCTTGCGCTAAAATGAGAAAGAAAAATCAGCTTGTGTCGCAGGTTTCTTCCAATGTTGTCCCACTAGCTAAACAGCACAACGCACTCTTCTGTAAGGCCAAGCCATATCTTAAACTACGGACTGTTTTTGTTTTTATATGCAAGTGCAAATAAAGTTAAACAAATAACATCAAGCCTTAAAAATGTTAAACATACTGCGGCTTGCTAAGGTTGCTTTATTTGAAGTTTCTAGTTCTAGCGGAATGTTTACCAATAGTTGCACGTCACCATATATAACTATTATGGCGCAAAACCCCTCTTTTCTTTATCAAAACTTACCTTTCTTTTCCTGAGCAGATATTGAGATGGAAATTTTCTGATTTTCATACTTTTTCTGACAGCTATCAACAATTGTCGTCAGTCAAAAATAACGTTATCATTTACCGTCACATCTACATGGAGAATTAAAATCTGATTGCCAGCCTAACCTATGGGCGTGGGCCAGTGGCAAACTGCCTACAGGGCATTTTACCTTAATCATTTATCCTCCACGTACATACAGATACAAACCTTTCACGTTGGTCAGAAGAGCTTTAGTTGTCACCTTCTGGACATGAACTCGGGCACAGGTTGCTGTAGTTCTTGTAGGGTGTGCCAGCCTCCTTCTGCATATAGCTGATCCGCAATGCAGTGTGACAAACAACCTAAGATTGGTCTTACGTAAATGGTGGAGTTAATTGTCTGAAGCTGGCTATTTGAATAACATTTATGATGAAAATTCAAATCACGCTGCAGGTCTCATGTTGCATATTCACTTATTTTCGTCACACCAGAAGAAATAGATACTGGTATCAGATTTAGTAAGATTTGATTGCGTCAGACAGTAGCATTTCAAATTCGTTAAAGACTTTTTTTATATTGGATGAGACTGTATGTGTGTTTGTCTGTCTGTTCAATGGATTAGTTTTCTATGTGGTATTCTGTGACAAAAAAATTAAAAATGGTTATATTTTCGTCTACCTGGCGGTTTTCCATGGCACTGCAGCTGACCTTTGACATGTACAACAAACTGATTTTGAAATGCATATTTTTGTGTATCATTAAATATCTTAACAATCTTTTACTGGGAGAAGGGGGCAGTCCGAGTGCAAGTATTGTTTTAGATTAAAGCTATTGGCTGACGAAGTCCTGGTTTTGTTTAAATCCATACTTGGGTTGTTGTCTTTCTACTAGTATTATAATGTTGGAATCTCATGTAGTAAGACACCATGACCTGTATTAGTGTTACAATCCATAGAACTCAATCACCATGACCTGTACTTAGCACAGATAATGTTGCAATTTCATAGTTGGAGGGATTTATACTCCTGCCTGACCATATATATGAAATTGTGTATTTGAGTAAGACCAGACCATATGCGAAGGTAAACATTATACCTAGTCTCTAGTTATTTTATAGAATTTGTTTCTGCATGGGGGAAATTCTGGTCAAAGTTGATTGATTGATTGATTGATTGATTTTTGCCAGTTTTCTGCTGCCAAGTTGCGAAGAGGTGTGTTTGTTTCAAATGTAGAGTATAGTGATATGTTACATC